TTTTAAAAAGAAATTATACACATATAACATTCAGTATTCGTTCTATTTTCTTTAGTATATGTGGGTATATGCATAATTTTGTACTTATTTATTTATTCATGATTATGTAGTGTATATTGGAGGTGGTGACCCTTTGAGAGCTGTATGGAACAAAATTTCCATTTAATGTATGCCGATTAGTGTACATTCAAAGTGACAATAAAGTGTATTCTAAGTCTATTTCGGCTTCAAATGTCTTTTGATTTAAGAATCAACAACATAATTTGCCTTAGAAAGAGAGAAAAAAAATATAAAAGGTGAAACAAACAATACGTGAGACTTTCCAGTCCTATATGTTGTTAAAATGTAGTCTGCAAAACCTCTCTGTTTGCTACCCTTGATCTCTGCTACCGATCCCACTTTCTAGTTCACTTGTTCTCCTGACACTGAAACTTCAAGAGCTGCGCCTGACAGCTGTAGCAGGGAAAGTAGCCAATATTGATTGTCTTGAGTCTCTGCTTTCAGTTGGTCATTTGGGACTCCTTCTAGGAGTACCTGCTGAACATTGAATTTTTTCCCCCAGCTGCTTCAGAGTCAACTAAGTGAAAATTCCCCTCTGCACTGTCCCTTTTGAGACAAACATGATGCCTTTCATTTTCCACAGGTCGTGGATTTTTTTTTTAATGTGAAAGTGGCCCATGTATGCCAACCGTTCTTCCACTGGAATTCTCCTGCCTATTGCAGCAAATTGTTGACCACGACAAGATTGACGTTTGGGTAGATTCTCAAACTGTGGGTTTGAAGCTTTGGGGAAGAGGGACAGGGAGACGGACCGTAATTAGGAAATCTGAAAGGGATTGCACTTGTTCCTGTTCTGCCTGAATGATTTTGCTGACTTGCTGGACTGGGCTATGTGTAGAATTTAGACTATTTGGTCTAGGGGTGAAGGCAGCAGTCTAGAAATCAGGAGAGTGTGAGTTCTAGTCTTTCTTTAGGCATGAAAGCCAGCTGGGTGACTTTGGGCCAGTCCCTCTCACTCGCTCCAACCCACCTCCCAGGGTTGTTGGGGAAAATAGGAAGAGGAAAGTGTATTAGGTGTGTTAGCTGCCTCGACTAATTTATGCTTATTTAGTCTTATTGTATGTTATATTCAGGAAATTGCTATACAATTATTAGCACAGCATAAATAAGCCATTCAAAATGGAGCAGCCTAGCGCATTATATCTCCCGATTCATGGAGGATGAGGGTACTTAGGCACTACTGACCTGTCTCTTTTTTTCCTTGAGTTTAATAGCATTGTTAGAACAAGCACTGAACTGCCTACTGTGGAGGACTCAGACAATTAATTAAAGAAGTGTGTGCAATCAAGAAACTCAGTCTTTTTACTTTCACGGTTAAGCAGATCCACTAATTAATTGCAATAATACAGATCAAGTTGAATTTACTCCAATCTATGGTTTTAAACCCACCAATTTACATACCATGCTTTGCAATTCTTGGGCCTTAGTTTTGACTTCAAGGGGCTGCCCTTTCATACGGACATATTTTATTTTCTGCTATTTACAAGAAGGAGCAAAAATTTAACATATGCAACACTTTAATTCAAAGTAAGTTTCGCTTACAGGAGATCTTGTGATTTCAGAAACAGCGTAATTCCCTTGCGAAAGCCACTTTGAGGTCTGCATTACTGACAGGCCAGTTCCGGAGAGGTTGATGCTAAAGCGACCCTTTCAAAAGAAAAAAAAAACAAGAAAAGACATATATGAGATTGTGCTGGCTTTCTGAAATGATTACTAAATACCCCAAATGCATGCTCCTTTAAACACAAAGGAAAGAAAATTTATTCGTGAACAATGTCGTTTTCTAGTGCTTTGGGTCCCCTGTGTAACAACAGACCACAGAGTCATTATTCTAACAAGATCTCCCTGGCACTGTTTTCAATTGTTCCAAGCCCTCGTAGTGATTAGCACATACTGTACAAATCACAGCAGGAATGAGATTAAGCATTTATTCTCATTTGCAGCAGTTTGAGAACAAGGCTGCCTTGCTGTGGCCTGCCAGTTGAGGGCATTCTTGTCCTTCAAGTGATCTTTGTTGCTTTTTAANACAAACATGGAAATAAAAATTGGAAGGCAGAGGTATTGCTTAATTGTCCTTCATCCATCTTGCTTAAGCTCCCGGCATTAAGAAATCCTGGAAATTAAAAACAAGATAAAGAGATTTCATTTCTACTTTCTAGACAACAGAAGTGTGTGTGTATCTGATCTTTTATGGGGACAGTCTGATATGCACAGGAGCACCATAATTCTACGCTGTACAGTTTAACAACCTTTTTTTTTTACATTAGTGCAACAGCTTCCAGCACTAGGTCCTTATATCACTAAATTATCTTTATGTCATTTGACTTAGGCTTTATATGCAGATAATTGAATTATGCATAGATTCAACACATGCAGCCTCAGCAATTCCTCAATGTATTTGGAACCACCAAGTTTGTGAGAATCACTTCCCAAAGGGTCAAGTGTCCTAGCCAGGGCTGACATCCAAAATGTCAGCTTGAAAAGAAAACTGGTAGACTTTCCTTAAAGCAAACAAAGAATCAAATAAACCACCATTTTTGCATGGAGCTGATTAGCTGCCTTGAGTGCTCATCTTGAAAGAAAGGGAATGAATGAATGAATGGCAATTCAGAAATACTAGCCAGAGATAGGTTTAAGTGGATGGGATTACTCAGAAATTGCTTTTTTTATCAAATGTTATAGTAGTAAGAAATATTGTTGTAATGACATCTGAATATTCAAGAAAAACAAAACAATAAAAGTTAAAACTTAATCAACTGACAACTAAGTGTCAATTGAATGTCTCAGACATTCCTTACACTGTTTGATGGAGTTCCAAATTCTGAAGACAGCCAGCATGAAACTGAACATCTGATGATAGCAGTATTGTACTGTCACAAAGCAAACCTTTCTCCTTTTATAAGTGAAGGAGTAGAGTTTGTCTCACAACACTGCGTTTGTCATTTTGAAGCAAGGAGCTGTGGATATAGTCCTTGAGAAAGTTTCTACAAAATATTCCTCTAATGGTGAGTGAAACAGGGGCCTCCTCTAAACATCTTAATCAAAGTCTAGATGGCTTGTCAGAGCCAGCAAGCCTATGAAATGTTTCCCAGATGAGTTCATAAAGGGGCTTTGGAGCATATGAGGGCACAAAGGTCCTTTCTGCACATCCTTAAAACAGTTGTGGTACGAGGTAAAAGAGGTCTACCTGTACCCTCTTCTTCTGAACACATGACACTTAGGTGTGGGTGGAAAACGTAGGAAAAAGGTGGAAGTGACGATTTTGGAGCTAAATCCAAGTATGGTTTTGTGCCAGAAGTAATATCATTATACTCAAATGCATTAGTGTTCAGTATTTCATCACTCCATGTACCATAATTCTGAGGCTGAGAGATTGCAAAGCAAAGCTTGCCTGGTGGAATTACTGTTCAGCCAAATGAACTTCACTGCAAATAAATACACACCTAGTTGATTAAATAAATATCACTGACTAGACAAACAATTAAGCCCATAAACATTTAAATATGTGTAAATATAACACAAAAATATGCAGAAAGTACTACTTACCATTGCTATAACACTTGAACATCGAGGCCAGTTCCAGATGATGGAGTACATTTTCCACAGTAACCACCACATTTTCCTATTACTTTGGTACCATCCTAATAGTTAAAATGAGAAAAAAAAATACACCAGGGAGGAGTAAATGCAATTCTTCTTATCCCAAATCTATTTGAACAATTTATAGAAGGAAAATGTATCAACAATCCTTATCCCAATTACATTAGGCAAAGGGTACCATATTTCTAAGTGAAAATGTAGAGGGTTATAAAAGGAAAATATATTTAGGTTAAAAGAACATACAAGGGAATGAAGGAACGCATAGTAAAATAAAAATGTATCATAAAAAAAGGTCGCCACCTCAGCTCTGTAAAACCTTATGATTTTAAAAAGAAATTATACACATATAATATTCAGTATTCATTCTATTTTCTTTTAACCTAAATATATTTTCCTTTATAACCCTCTACATTTTCACTTAGAAATATGGTACCCTTTGCCTAATGTGATTGGGATTAGGA